GTATGAAATGTTTAATTTCCTGTTAGAGTTTAGAGTTGTACTAAAAATGATTTTCCACAAAGGTAGGTGAGTGAATAGGCAAAATATGTGATACAGGGAGAGGGTTTGTAGTGGTGATGGGCTAATGCTTCCAAGCAAGAAGGTTAATGGTTTGAATACTAGCTGCAGCATTTTCTTAATAAATGTTTGCATGTTCCATCTGTGGGCATTTGTATTACCTCAGGGAATTCAGGCTTTTTTCTAACTATTTGAATCAAGTTTTTATTTGCATGTTTTATTAAAATCAGGATCCTGTAAATCACCAAGGCTTGTTCTAAGATGTTACCCTTTTGTTTTTTTCTCAGGGTTTTAGATTAGAAATAAACTAGTGTTTAAACTATATGACACTTTTATAACTTGGTGGCTGTGTCTGAACATCCGCCCGATAGCTTGTCTGTGGAAGTAGTTTAAAATTACAGTGAGAGAAAAGAAACCCTCCAACCTCAAAGACTTGGAACTCATTATCAAAAATAAATCACCTAAAGACCAGTCACACACAGAAAGCTAATAAAGCAAATAGGTGAAATTTTACACTTCAGTAAAAATGTTTTTTACTGAATATTGAGTAGGTTATGAATATTCTTTTTACATTATCTTCTCAGAGAAGCATATGTTGTTTCCTTTAAGGAACAAATGAAAATTAGAATGTGTAAAACAAATATATATATATATATATATATATATATATATATATATATATATATATATATATATATATATATATATATATATATATATATATATATATATATATGTGTCGTAGTTTCCATCATTAAGCAATAGAAATTTCCATTACTCTTGTTAAATTTCTAATAAAACATGAACATTTCAGTAGTGAGGAGGTTAGTGAAGAGACAGGACTGACTGGTTCACAAAAAGTATAGTGATTGGCTCCAGATTTGTTTCCGATAGAAAAAAAAAAGAAGCCAGTCCTATAAAAAGCCCTCAGTACCTGTACAGTTCAAAGCACTGGTCCATACCCAGTTAACAGGTTCTAAGTGGGGCTGTCGCATCAAGATCTACAACAATGGTTGAGCAGTTTGTTGGAACATGGAAGCTGATTTTCAGCGAGAACTTTGATGAATTTCTGAAGAAACTTGGTAAGAAACCTTATAATTAAAACAATGCATGTATTGAATAAAGATCTATCGATTGATGAAATATGCTGTAGAGAGTGCAGCTGAGAAGTGAAATTCATTTTCTTTTGGTGCCACTTTGCAGGTATTTCTGCTGCCCAGCGACAGATGGCAAGCAAACAAAAACCCAAGTTCTCCCTGAGTGTCGACAGTCAGGGAATAATCACCATTGAGTCTCAGGGAATCTTTAAAGCACCTGAGATCAAGTTCAAGCTTGATGAGCCTTTTGAAGAGGAGACAGTGGACAACAAGAAGGTCAAGGTAAGCTGTTTGAGGACATAATTAGAGAGGAACCAATTTAATCTTTTTGCTTGTTGATGCTTAAAAAGACTTTTTTTTTGCTTGTAGACCGTGGTGACTCTGGAGAATGGCAAGCTCATTCAGAAAATGGGAGAAATGTGTGTAGAGAGGGAAATCTTGGATGAGAAACTGATCGTGGTAAGACATTTTGAGTTTGAGGAATTTACCTATGAAATCCAATTAGACTATGGAAACATTCTTGGACATTGACTTCTTCTGGCAGAGCTTTTGTTGTGGCTTTCATTTAAGAAAAAAGTGTTTTGTGCAAGACGCCATTTAGCATTTTTTTTCCAAGCTTCTAATAAATGTCTAAATCACCTGTTGATTCTTCAAACAGAGAACCATGATGGGAAATGCGGTGGTGGTGAGGACATTCGAAAAGGAAGAATGAAAGCAAACATGGATGATCGCCAGAATCACGAAAGTCATCATTCTTTGATAATACTGTTGTGTTGAATAAATAAAAAAGTTATGTGGCATCAGTTGGTCTACGTTCCCTCTTTAATATGCATTATATTTAAGGTGAACCATTTCTAGAATTTAATCATGTTGATAAATATTCTACAAAATAATGTGGTCATTTAGATTTTACCTACAGTATTTTCATATACACTATCGTTCAAAAATTTGGGGTCACCTAAACAATTTTGTGTTTTCCTGAAAAGTTATACTTATTCACCACCATACATTGTGAAATGAATAGAAAATAGAGTCAAGACATTAACAAGGTTAGAAATAATGATTTGTATTTGAAATAAGATTTTTTTTACATCAAACTTTGCTTTCAATCAAAGAATCCTCCATTTGCAGCAATTACAGCATTGCAGACCTTTGGCATTCTAGCTGTTAAGTTGTTGAGGTAATCTGGAGAAATTGTACCCCACGCTCCCAGAAGCAGCTCCCACAAGTTGGATTGGTTGGATGGGCACTTCTTCCGTATCATGCGGTCAAGCTGCTCCAACAACAGCTCAATGGGTTTAGATCTGGTGACTGCGCTGGCCACTCCATTACTGATAGAATACCAGCTGCCTGCTTCCATTCTAAATAGTTCTTGCACAATTTGGAGGTGTGTTTAGGGTCATTGTCCTGTTGTAGGATGAAATTGGCTCCAATCAAGCGCTGTCCACTGGGTATGGCATGGCGTTGCAAACTGGAGTGATAGCCTTCCTTATTCAGAATCCCTTTTACCCTGTACAAATCTACCACCTTACCAGCACCAAAGCAACTCCAGACCATCACATTACCTCTACAATGCTTAACAGATGGCGTCAGGCATTCTTCCAGCATCTTTTAATTTATTCTGCATCTCACAAACGTTCTTCTTTGTGATCCAAACACCTCAAACTTGAATTCATCCGTCCACAACACTTTTTTCCAGTCTTCCTCTGTCCAATGTCTGTGTTCTTTTGCCCATCTTAATCTTTTTCTTTTATTGGCCAGTCTCAGATATGACTTTTTCTTTGCCACTCTGGCCTGAAGCCCAGAATCCCGCACCTGCCTCTTCACTGTAGATGTTATCACTGGTGTTTTGCGGGTACTATTTAATGAAGATGCCAGTTTGGGACCTGTGAAGCGTCTGTTTCTCAAACTAGAGACTCTAATGTACTTATCTTCTTGCTCAGTTGTGCAACTCGGCCTCCCACTTCTTTTTCTAATCTGGTTAGAGCCTGTTTTGCTGTCCTCTGAAGGGAGTAATACACACCGTTGTAGGAAATCTTCAATTTCTTAGCAATTTCTCGCATGGAATAGCCTTCATTTCTAAGAAAAAGAATAGACTGTCGAGTTTCAGATGAAAGTTCTCTTTTTTTGGCCATTTTGAGCATTTAATTGACCCCACAAATGTGATGCTCCAGAAACTCAATCTGCTCAAAGGAAGGTCAGTTTTGTAGCTTCTGTAACGAGCTAAACTGTTTTCAGATGTGTGAACATGATTGCATAAGGGTTTTCTAATCATCAATTAGCCTTCTGAGCCAATGAGCAAACACATTGTACTTGTTTATTGTGGGAGAGTGTAGAGCCAGTGGGTAGTCAGGGGAGTGGCAGCCTAGTGGTAAGGGCATGGAGCGGGAAGTAGTGTCATAAGTGAAGAAGACGGCTGGAGGTGGGACAGGAGCAGAGGTTTCTCCAACATTTGCGGTACGTGGGGTAGGTGGTAAATGTCAGTCAAAGGTTTCCTGACACTACTTCCCGTGTGATCGTGTCTCCAAGGCCCAATCAGGCTTACAGAAGAGGTTAGTCTATGCCAAACCTGTCAAAACACATTTTCCTTTCTGGAAGGAGAAAATTAGTCTGAGGACAGAAAGGCTTTCGAGAGTGCAGCCTTTCTCAAGCGTGGCCGCTGGAAAAGAAAATTGTGTGCGCAGTGAGATCTTGAGCACGGTCCCGAGCGTGCATGGGGGGAGCTGGCACGCATGGAGAGCGATTCTCTCCTCTTTAAGCTGCAGTTTCTCAAGCATATGTGATTTTGTTGTGACGTGGTGAATAAACCATGCATAGAAGTAGTTAAACATACATGCCAGTATGTTTATTTTGCTTGCGTGAGTTTTGAAATAAATGTGACGCCATAGACAGAGAAATCCAGAAAGTAATTATACCAAATTGGAAAAAAGAATAAATAAATATTTAGCAGCTAAGATAAAATACGTTCTTCTGTCAATATGCTCTACCCAGAGCTCCATCCATCCATCCATCCATCCATCCATCCATCCATCCATCCATCCATCCATCCATCCATCCATCCATCCTGTCAGGGTCATGGTGGGGCCAATGCCCATGTCTGGCAGTCTATAGGCAAGAGGCGGGTTACAACCTGGACAGGTCGCCAGTCTGTTGCAGTATCCAGAACTCATCAAGTGGAAAAGTTTTAGTGTCACCTGGTTTCATTCTGCAAAAAATATTTGAGGAATCTTTTGCTATAGCCCCATTATATTGTCTCCGTCAGGTTTTCCCTGAACAAGCTTTCTATTGCTTTTATACTTTCAGCGCCTCCTGCTTGCTACTGAGAATAGGGCATTTTATGGTTGTAGTGGACTGCATCCTATTTATACCCCACCCCAGAATTTTCCTTATTTTATACAGGAAATGATACAAACTCCCTAAGGGGACAATTCATGCAATGACTACCACTGGACAAGATGCTAAACAAAAAACAGACAACATAAACAGATACAAATGTCATCAGTTGCTTGTTTTTGGTTCGATCTGCTACTATAATATTAATGCAGATGGAACCTATAGGTAGTATTCAAGGTTTTACATTACTTTATGATCTTCTGAGAGAAGCATATCTTGTTTCCTTTAGGGAACAAATGCAAATTAAAATGAAAAACAAATGTATTAATTGGTAGTTTCCATCATCAAGCAATAGATATTTCCATTGCTTTTGTTACATTTTTAATAAAACATGCAAATTTCAGTAGTGAGGAGGTTAGTGAAGAGACAGGACTGACTGGTTCACAAAAAGTATAGTGATTGGCTCCAGATTTGTTTCCGATAGAAAAAAAAAAGAAGCCAGCCCTATAAAAAGCCCTCAGTACCTGTACTGTTCAAAGCACTGGTCCATACCCAGTTAACAGGTTCTAAGTGGGGCTGTTGCATCAAGATCTACAACAATGGTTGAGCAGTTTGTTGGAACATGGAAACTGATTTTCAGCGAGAACTTTGATGAATTTCTGAAGAAACTTGGTAAGAAACCTTATAATTAAAACAATGCATCTATTGAATAAAGATCTATCGATTGATGAAATATGCTGTAGAGAGTGCAGCTGAGAAGTAAAATTCATTTTCTTTTGGTGCCACTTTGCAGGTATTTCTGCTGCCCAGCGGCAGATGGCAAGCAAACAAAAACCCAAGTTCTCCCTGAGTGTCGACAACCAGGGAATAATCACCATTGAGTCTCAGGGAATCTTTAAAGCACCTGAGATCAAGTTCAAGCTTGATGAGCCTTTTGAAGAGGAGACAGTGGACAACAAGGTCAAGGTAAGCTGTTTGAGGACATATTTAGAGAGGAACCAATTTAATCTTTTTGCTTGTTGATGCTTAAAAAGCCTTTTTTTTTTGCTTGTAGACCGTGGTGACTCTGGAGAATGGCAAGCTCATTCAGAAAATGGGAGAAATGTGTGTAGAGAGGGAAATCTTGGATGAGAAACTGATCGTGGTAAGACATTTTGAGTTTGAGAAATTTACCTATGAAATCCAATAAGAATATGGAAACATTCTTGGACATTGAATTCTTCTGGCAGAGCTTTTGTTGTGGCTTTCATTTAAGAAAAAAGTGTTTCGTGCAAGACGCCATTTAGCATTTTTTCCAAGCTTCTAATAAACGTCTAACTCACCTGTTGTCTCTTCACACAGAGAACCATGATGGGAAATGCGGTGGTGGTGAGGACATTCGAAAAGGAAGAATGAACGCAAACATGGATGATCGCCAGAATCATGAAAGTCATCATTCTTTGATAATACTGTTTCGTTGAATAAATAAAAAAGTTATGTGGCATCAGTTGGTCTACGTTCCCTCTTTAATATGCATTATATTTAAGGTGAACCATTTCTAGAATTTAATCATGTTGATAAATATGCTACAAAATAATGTGGTCATTTAGATTTTACCTATTTTAAGTCATCTTAAAATGTTATAGTACTGTTACTAATTATATTTAGTTGCTTTGCAATTACTTTTCTTATGGATCCATTATATGGTGGCAATGGTATGAATAAAAGGCTCTATGTACAGAAAATTAAAAGAGATGGGATCCATAGTTTTTTAATGGAGAAAGATTAAGTGAATCTGTTTGAGCAAGTATAAAAAAAATAAAATAAAATAAAAAAAAATTTTAAAGAAGCTTTGGTGATTAATTTTATTTAGGAAATAATCACCTCCAAAAAATACTCAACCAATCCCTTGTCTATTGTGGGAGAGTGTAGAGCCAGTGGGTAGCCAGGGGAGTGGCGGCCTAGTGGTAAGGGCATAGAGCGGGAAGTAGTGTCATAAGCGAAGAAGACGGCTGAAGGCAGGACAGGAGCGGAGGTTTCTCCAACGTTTGTGGTACGTGGGGTAGGTAGTAAATGTCAGTCAAAGGTTTCCTGACACTACTTCCCGTGTGATCGTGTATGCAAGGCCCAATCAGGTTTACAGAAGAGGTTAGTCTATGCCCAGCCTGTCAAAACACATTTTCCTTTGTGCAAGGAGAAAACCCGTCCGAGGACAGAAAGGCTTTTGAGAGCGTAGCCTTCCTCTAGCGTAGCCGCTGGATAGAAAATTGTGTGCGCAGTGAGATCTTGAGCACGATCCCGAGCATGCGTGGGGAGAGCTGGCATGCACAGAGAGCGATTCTCTCCTCTCTCAGCTGCAGTTACTCAAGCATATGTGATTTTGTTGTGAGGTGGTGACATGATTCTAGAGTAGACTCTGGCGCAGACACAATACGAGTCAGGAAGCAGTTTAGAATGTTTATTAGTTGCTTTATTAGTTGCTTAGTTCCATTATTGCTTAGTAAGGAACTGCACGGGCAGGCAGGGGAACTGAGTAATTAAGAGTTGATGCAAAACCCCTTGCAAAAAAACCTTGGAGAGCGGAGCAGATGGAGGGGAGGTTGGATGAGCCCAGAGAGATAGAGTTTGGCTGAAATGCTGGGGCCACGGCTTGAGAGATCCAGAGGGTGGACAGGCAGGTGAGCAATCGAGGATGGATCCAGGAGGACTGAGTGGAGAACCGGCTTGGAGACTGCAAGGCTTCTAGGAGAGAAGGAGGACAAGGAGGTAAGCTTGAGTCTAAGCAAAAAAGTTCAGTCTTAGGAGAGCTAGCAGGTAGGTTACCACTATGTGGAATTTAACCGACTGGCATCCGTCCCAGGGAATCCACTCCTCTAAATACTGCTCCCTGATTGCGTCCAATTGGAACCAGCTGGGTGCTTTTCTGGGCTGGAGACTCTGAGGAGGAAAAGGTAAGAGAAACCCTAACACAGCTCAGCACACAATCCTGTTGGCCCAACAGGTGGTGAATAAACCATGCATAGAAGTAGTTAAACATTCATGCGAGTATGTTTATTTTGCTTGCTTGAGTTTTGAAATGTGGCACCATAGACAGAGAAATCCAGAAAGGAATTATACCAAATTGGAAAAAGAATAAATAAATACTTAGCATCTAAGATAAAATATGTTTTCGTCTGTCAATATGCTCTACCCAAAGCTCCATCCATCCATCCATCCATCCATCCATCCATCCATCCATCCATCCATCCATCCATCCATCCATCCTTCCTGTCAGGGTCATGGTGGGGCCAATGCCCATGTCTGGCAGTCTATGGGCGAGAGTCGGGGTACAACCTGGACAGGCTGCCAGTCTGTTGCAGTATCCAGAACTCCTCAAGTGGAAAAGTTTTAGTGTCACCTGGTTTCATTCTGCAAAAATTCTGCATTCTTGCTATAGCCCCATTATATTGTCTCCGTCAGGTTTTCCCTGAACAAGCTTTCTATTGCTTTTATGCTTGCTCAGCACCTACTGCTTGCTACTGAGAATAGGGGATTTTATGGTTGTAGTGGACTGCATCCTATTTATACCCCACCCCAGAATTTTCCTTATTTTATACAGGAAATGATACAAACTCCCTAAAGGGACAATTCATGCTATGACCACCACTGTGTTGGGAGCTGGAGAAGTTCCATCTCTCTCCAGCAGAGTCCGCCATGGATCCTCCTGAGCTGAGCCTTCGACACACCTGAGGCGCATCTCATCATCAGAGGATCCACAGTATATAAGCTGTCTTCAGACCTTGCCTCGACGCCGCAGTGTTAAATCCAGTTGGTTAGCACCTAAGCCTAGTATCTTCTGAGAACCTTTGTTGCCATTGAATCCAGATTGGATTCTAACCCTTTGTCTCTGCTTTCAGGAATCCTGTTTTTCTCCCGTGAAGCTCTGGAAGAGCTTAACCTGCCGAGCCTGCCCTCTGAGCCAAACCTGAAGAAGCAGCTATCAGACTCTGCTGAACAAAACAATCTCTGGACCCAACAGTTCCTCCCTCAAGGCTTTACCAGGACTCCTCAAGGTACAAACCTGAGAACCTCAAACTCAAACTCAACTGATCCAACGCTAACTGAACTGTCTCCCACACAGACTCCAGTGAACCAGCCCCCAGGCCTGAACCAGTACCAGTGTTATTTCTATGTGCTTGTGAAACAATAAACCTGTTAAACTTTTATTCTGTCTCCGTGGTGTTCTGCATCTTGGGCCTCTCAGTAACCCATCATGACACACTGGACAAGATGCTTAAAAAAAGACAACATAAACAGATACAAATGGCATCAGTTGTGTCATGCTTTTATTTAAAAATCTGACCCACATATAGAAAACCAATCAGAGAGACCAGGGAAGGTTTAAAAGGTTTATTGAGAACTGGTAGGAATGGGTCCAGTGCTGCTCTGAACAATGGCAAACTGGGACTGAAAAGAGAAGGGGAAGTTCCTGTGGTTAGTTCAGGCTCAGTGGGAAATTTGAGCTTCGATTTGCAAAAGGGAGTAAAGGCAACAGGGCTCATGTTTCCAGAAAAGGTGTCTTTCTTTGAATCCAGTCAGTGTGGGTTGTTCCAGAAATTGGTTTGCTCGTTGGAGGGTGGACATGGTTTACCCAGGTTAAGTTGTTTCCTTGAGGAATGGAGGAGCTGACTGCCACTTAGATTTCCTTCGGTACTTGAACGGATCTTGTGGAGAAAAATCCCCTGCTCAGTGTGAAGCTCAAACAATCCCTTGGTAAAAACTAGATCCAAGCCTCCAGTTTGAATCCCCAGCTCAATTTGAAGCTCAGACAATCCTTCCAGGGGGAGAAGGTCCAAAACATCCAGTTTGCGGGATGACTTCCTGCCGAGAGGCAAAGACAAAAACAACAGGATTAAGACTCAGGTTGACAAAAAACTCAGTTTGACTCAGCAAAACTCAGCTTAGCTAGTGTACCCAAAACTGGCAACCACTCTGGCGTCGAGGTAGTGGCCGTCAGCAGCTTAAGAGTCCTCAGGTAATGAGGCAAACATCCGCAGGCAGTAAGAAGGACCAACGAGAACCAGGCAGCACCTGGTGGTGGAGGGAAAACAAACAAAAACACAACCCACACAGACTGGATTCCTAACAAGTTGCTTGTTTTTGGTTCGATCTGCTACTATAATATTAATGCAGATAGAACCTATAGTTAGTATTCAAGGTCCTGTACAATCTTTACCAATCTCACATTTATAAGACAGATATTGAGTGAGTGGATGCAGAGGGCAATTTTAAGTACAGCCACGGGGCACAGCTTGGGAAATACTCAGACAGTAGTTGACGAAACTGGAATTCAGCCTTTATTGCGGGAATCACTGAGGTCAGAAATCTTCTTGCATTGCAGCCAGGCTCCCCTACAGTTTTGTGGGGCCTCCTCGCTCATAACTCAGTTCAGCTGTTTGGTTTCTCTGGAGGCTCTTAGATCAGCCCAGGAGCCATTCGGTTCCTGCAGAGAGGAGTCAAGATGAAAATAATGTGATTTTAGTGAACATCGAAGCACACAGGGAAACTCTCAAGAAACCTGGCGGAGACTGACCTCAAGGGCAACTCCACGGCATGAGAAATGTAATATGACAAATGGGAGTGGGATTTGGACTATTAGATGCTAACATTTCACAAGTTTAACTAAAGCAAGTAGCAGTACAGCTTCTAGCTTAGACATTTTGTTCTTTTTTAAAGTCAAATTTGACCTGAAAAATATAACAGTATTTTAAGGAAAAAAGTGTGAATGAAAAAAAGTTGTTTATTTAGGGCTAATGTCTTTAATCAAACATCAAAGCTACACACTTATGGGATCTTTTTTTTCTGGGTTGTTATCTGCCTAATTGTTTGCACTATCTTGCATGTGAAACTAAACAGACTTTTTTTGCCCTAGTTTACGCCTCTCCTTTAAAGCTGTCCAGCACCATGCAGCCCAGTTTTACAAAATGCATACCAGAAATACCACTTTACAGCTCAAAAATAGCAAGTGTTTCATTGCAAACACAGCTCATTCTCAGGGCACAACCTTGTGAACAGAAAAAAACAAGCCTAGTTGTACTGTCATGTTCGCTGTTGAGATCCACTTGTTGATTAACACACGTAGTAAATCATAGAGTTGAAGCTTTTATGGTAGATTTAAGATTCATAGCCTTGTTGAAGCACTTGAACTTAAAAGGTGTTTTTGTAAGGCTGAGTTTAAGCTGAGGACAAGCAAAGGAAGGGTGTCAACGCTGCAGCTCAAGTGGAGCTTTCCAGATGTTATGCAAAGGATGTGAGTTAATTCCTCTGAAGTCCCAGACCTGCTGTCTCTCTCATGACACAAAGCAAACCCGCTGTCAGCCAGATGTAAGGTTCTATCAGGCGTGAGAACATTTGCAAGTTTTCCAAAGGACTTTATATCAGGATTTAAACTATAGCTCTGTCTATTCTATATCTGGAGCCAAGATGGTAGTTAGAGAAGGTGCACCCCATCCACTACATACTGTAGAAATGTCCTAGATGCACTCTTAGTTTGATTGTGCAGACCATGTCTACAGTGTATGTGAAAAAAAAAACACTTATAAGGTACTTTTTCTTGTGACTACATGTACTCTAATAGGGTTTTATGTGCCAATGAAAAATGTGAAATACTGTTAATACAGCTCCAGTTTGTTGGATATATATCCCTACAAACATTTTTGCTCATTCCTGTTTGAAAAGATACATCATCCCTGAAAGATCCGAAATGTGGGCGCATTTTAGTTTTCACTTCCTTTTACATATATTTAGATATATACATCTGTGTATTTAGATATATATATACACATATATATTACATAGATTTAGGTGCAGATCTTGACAGATTAAAAACATTTTTCCATCACCTTGTAGTGATCTATGTCATTCTATGTCATAGTGTTTTTTGTTTTGTTTTTTTATTTTTCTGCAGTCACTAATGCCTTTTCTCCAGGGTTGTCCTGTTTTCCTATTAGTTATGACCAGCTTCCCTGTTCCAGCTGAAGAAATGCATCCCCTCAGCATGAATCCAACACCACCATGTTTCTAAGTGGTGATGATTTTTTGGCTATGATGTTAAGAGTCATTCCTCTTCCACAACAGGTTGTGTTTATCATGACTAAAAGGTTTAGCTGTGGTCTAATCAAAAAGCAACTTCTTCCTTCTTCTGCCAAACAGATTAAAGAAAGCTACAGTAAATACAGGTGCTGGTCATAAAATTAGAATATCATGAAAAAGTAGATTGATTTCAGTAATTCCATTTAAAAAGTGAAACTTGTATATTATATTCATACATTACATACAAACTCATATATTTCAGATGTTTATTTTTTTTAATTTTGATGATTACAAATGACAACAAATGAAAATCTCAAATTCATCATATCAGAAAATTAGAATATTGTGAAAAGGTTCAAAATTGATGGCCCCTGGTGCCACACTCTAATCAGCTAATTAACTCAAACCACCTGCAAAAGCCTTTAAATGGTCTTTCAGTCTAGTTCTATAGGCTACACAATCATGGGGAAGACTGCTGACTTGACAGTTGTCCAAAAGACGACCATCGACACCTTGCACAAGGAGGGCAAGACACGAAAGGTCATCGCTAAAGAGGCTGGCTGTTCACAGAGCTCAGTGTCCAAGCACATTAATAGAGAGGCGAAGGGAAGGAAAAGATGTGGTCGAAAAAAGTGTACAAGCAAGAGAGATAACCGCACCCTGGAGAGGATTGTGAAACAAAACCCCTTCAAAAATGTGGGGGAGATTCACAAAGAGTGGACTGCAGCTGGAGTGAGTGCTTCAAGAACCACCACACACAGACGTATGAAAGACATGGGTTTCTGCTGTCGCATTCCTTGTGTCAAGCCACTCTTGAACCACAGACAGCGTCAGAAGCATCTAAAGAGAAACAGGACTGGACTGCTGGTGAGTGGTCCAAAGTCATGTTCTCTGATGAAAGTAAATTTTGCATTTCCTTTGGAAATCAAGGTCCCAGAGTCTGGAGGAAAAGAAGAGAGGCACTTCATCCACGTTGCTTGAAGTCCAGTGTAAAGTTTCCACAGTCAGTGATGGTTTGGGGTGCCATGTCATCTGCTGGTGTTGGTCCATTGTGTTTTCTGAGGTCCAGGGTCAACGCAGCCACATACCAGGAAGTTTTAGAGCACTTCATGCTTCCTGCAGCTGACCAACTTTTTGGAGATGCAGATTTCATTTTCCAACAGGACTTGGCACCTGCACACAGTGCCAAAGCTACCAGTACCTGGTTGAAGGACCATGGTATCCCTGTTCTTAATTGGCCAGCAAACTCTCCTGACCTTAACCCCATAGAAAATCTATGGGGTATTGTGAAGAAGAAGATGCAATACACCAGACCCAACAATTCAGAAGAGCTAAAAGCCACTATTAGAGCAACCTGGGCTATCATAACACCTGAGCAGTGCCACAGACTGATCGACTCCATGCCACGCCGCATTGCTGCAGTAATACAGGCCAAAGGAGGCCCAACTAAATACTGAGTGCTGTACATGCTCATACTTTTCATGTTCATACTTTTCAGTTGGCCAACATTTCTATAAATCCTTTGTTTTTATTGGTCTTCAGTAATATTCTAATTTTCTGATATGATGAATTTGAGATTTTCATTTGTTGTCATTTGTAATCATCAAAATTAAACAAAATAAACATCTGAAATATATGAGTTTGTATGTAATGTATGAATATAATATACAAGTTTCACTTTTTAAATGGAATTACTGAAATCAATCTACTTTTTCATGATATTCTAATTTTATGACCAGCACCTGTACATTGTTACCTAGCAAGATATTAATAACTTCTAGGAATTCAAAGAGGCCCTAAATAATTTGTTGTATTTAGTTGTGCATCAGCTAAAATTCAGATGAGAGAAATGATGTCTGGGAAAAAAGGACTCCGAGGTGAAGATCCACCCTGTTCCCTGCAGTTGTCCAAACAAAGACATGGGGAAGCCTTGTTGACTTTCAAGCAGTGCACCTGTAAGTCAATCCATAGCAGATGTGCCTTTTGGCTTTCAGGATGTGAACACAAAACACTCCACCTCATGAACAGCTAATCAAATCAAATAAAGATGGATGAAAGCAGAGAATAAAGGTTATTTATTTATTCTTATACCTTTAGAGGTTATATTAGCTGAATGAGTCACCATCTCAATCTGGTCCACCAGGGTCTTCTTGCAGGTATGCTTTTGATATGTAAAGCAATAAAATACAGAATATGCAGAACATGATTAATATAAATGAATTATAGTTTGGATGCAGCTGGTTACATTGTGATTTGCAGGAATGCAGCACTGATTGTGGCAGCACAAGAGAAACAATGATCCTATCAGGTTGACAGTGCATGGTACATTTAGTTATTTCCTGAAAGATATCGTTTGCTATTAGGCCTAGTTGTTTTATATTTTTTACATCTTTTCACTTGATGTTATTTCCAGCAGATGCATCAGAAATGCGCTTTGCCATGTTTACGCTTCCCTCCATTTAGATGCTGTTGTATTTTTGGACATCTAAAGCAGAAGTTTGCCTTTAAACCTCTCAATTCTTCAAGTGCATTTAATGTTTGTTACAGAGGAACAAAATTTTAAATCCAGCCCATTGATAAACAGGTTACTCTAAGTTAGAAAAGTGGCCTGGGCTGACCAACACTCAACAGGGTAACTGATTGCAAAATATACTATTTTAGCTGCAAAACCTAAGATTTTTTTTTCCAATAAAGTTAAGATTGTTACAATTTCTCTTGGCAGTAAACTGAGCAGATTTTTTCTACATTTGAAGTTTTTTTTTTCCCCCCATGCATCAGTTTTGCTTGTTTTATGACACCTGTCCCACTTGGAGACATTATCCACAGAATACACCCCGAGTAATAGATCGAAGAGAACCGTGTCAAACTAATAAATCTGATTTACGATTAAGTTGAGGCATAAGTGGATGTAGGAAAAAAGCTGAAAAAATATTTTGTTCTGCACCAAAGGAACAACTGCTGTGTATTTTAAAATTAAGACCTACCATCTTTAAACAGTATTTCCTCAGTTGATTCAAATATAAAAAAATTTATATTGCACCACAACTGTAAACCCTTTGGTTCCAAATATAACCATTCAAGTAGAAACCTATGGATGAAGGATCTGTTTACCATAAATGGTGCAAATAAGGACACATTTCTGTAACCAGAAGAAAGCTTCTATTTGACTAAATATTTTAAAGTATGCTTCAAGGCATGGAAAACTGATTCCCTGAAGCAACTTTAGCACATTGACCTTTGCTAGCAGAGCTCTGTTGCATCCCTATTCATGTGGCCTCTTCCCAGGGGTCATGTCCTCCATGGCTTCCAGCTCCATTGTCCAAAACGGGACGCTGGCCCAGTATTCCAGGTTAAGCTGTTTTGGTCATCAAGTTCAATTAGCACCATCAGTTGCCTTTCCTGCCATGGAAAACTGCATCCCTCAAATCCTGCACAAAACACAGCCAATAGGGTGGGGACTTCCAAAAGGGGAGCTGCAATGGGAAATGTTCAGCCTTTCCAAAAAGGGGGAAAACATTTCCTCTAATGCACTCATTACATTCCTTTGAATCCAAGTCGGGTGGACTGAAAAAATTGCTTTGACCTTAAAAGGACACTTTGATACTGCAAGTCAAAATGCTGCCTTTAGATTAAAAATTCTAAACAGATTTTAAAATGACACCCGATAAATAAAAAGGCTCAGACTCTGGCATCAATTTGACAAAAGCTTAATTCTTTTATTCACAAACCACCACAACATTTCCAAACGAAACCCAAAAAGGGAATCAAATTTGGGGCAACAAGGTACAAAAAAAAAAAAAAAAAAGCAGGCTTTGGGAAACAGCGTGTAAAGAGAGCAGAACACGTCATTCTTTGAGAGCATGCTCATTAAACTGAGCTGGTCATCAAGGAAAAGGTCACTCCTTTACGTACGTCCTCACTGCCACCACGTCTCCCATAATGCATTTCTGTAGAGAAAAAGCAGAAGCATCAAGAGTCGAGTCTAGAAACTACAAGACAGAAGCATTAATTCAAGGTAGAAGGAACCCCATGCTAGACCAGCACAGCTGATGGTTAGAAAGGAGCGAAGGATGACAATTCAGTGGTTTACCCTTTAAGAAAATCCCATTATAAAAAGTCAAAGGGCATAATGAGTAAGCAGTTCAAAGTAGTTTGATGATTTTTAATCTATAAAAAAAAAACAAAAAAAACACAGCCAACCCCAAATTACATGCACAAAAATAAAAATGGATAAAAATCAATATGGCTACTCAGGCACCATTCTAATGTCTCCACCTCTGGAAATCCCTCAAGCAACCCCAGGGAAAAATAATTCCTGGAGCCACCACTGCTGCCCCTGCAAAGTTTACTAGATGCCTATGCATTTCCACAATATCCATAGCCAGGAATTTGAGATTTACCAAGAGCAGAGGGGAAGAAAAAAATAAATCCTTACCGCAACCAGTTTTCCATCAGAGATCTCCCTCTCAATACTGGTCTCTTTGCCATCCCAGCTCTGTTTCTGGATTAGTTTACCATTATCCAGACTGACCACACTCTGCAGGACAGACAATTAAACTCCCACAATTAACAGCTTTTCCACGTGCAAACCTTGCAGTTCATAATTAAAGAAACCCAAACCTTAGTCTTTCGGTCATCAGCAGTTGTCTCATCAAAAGGCTCATTGAGCTTGAACTTGACCTCAGTGGTTTTAAAGGCGCTCTGAGACTTCATGCAGATCATCCCCTGATCATCCACGCTCATTATGAAGTTGGGTTTGGTTCGGTTCCCCACCTGCCTGGTGGCAAAACCCACTCCTGTAGCGCAGGAATAAACAAAAAAAAAATAAATAAAGAAATAAATAAAGAAATACTTTTAAATCAAAATGAGCTACTTTAAATTATTTGCATCTGAGCATGCTTACCCAGTGCCTTCATGTAATCATCAAAATTCTCGCTGGAAATCATCTTCCAGGTTCCTACAAACTTGTCAACCATGGTTGCGGTCTTCAGTAGTTCTTTCTTTCCTCCCCTAAAATCCACGCAGTCTTTAGTTAGACTGTGGATGCTCGCTTTTAAAGAGCCAGATCACTTTTTTTTATAAACAGACATGGAGCCAATCACAGCCCTCTGAGTCACAAATTTAAATAATTGAAATCCCGCCTCCAATAAGCCGACTTTACTCACTATCTGGCTTTTTACACCAGTGTTTCTCATATTTGCATGTTTTAACGCACCCTGCTGTTTATGAACTGTATTTTAAAAGGGTCTATATATATATATATATATATAAATAAATCAAAATGACTTATATTGTGTAGGGATTCAATAGTATGCAGCATAAATTCATCAGATGAATTGAACTGAACCACACCTAATCAGAGCAATCGCACTTCACCTTCACTTCAAGAATCTCACAGTACCTTATCTCTAATATCAGGATATAGATTTAGGTTCAAATTAAACAGACTGTTGCATGTCACAACAGAGTGACTATTTTGTCCTATTGTGAGCCTTAGATACGGGATGGTATTGACCAGGTAAGTCAGCAGCATTACGGGCGTCTAAAAGATCTCTGGATGTCATACTATGAAGCCCACTATTGGAGTGGAGTTGTAGTACTTAAGGTCATTTTATTTTCTAACACCAAATATTTGTTCTTTATCTTGCACAAAAAGGATTCTCCTAAGATTCTTTGTTCAATCAAATTTCCCCCTCCATTTTTGGCATAAAATTGGTCAATACTGAAATGTTCACTACTTTTGCACCCAAATGTCAGAGTGAAATGAATAATATAGAACATGTAAAAACAGGAATGGATGGATGGACAAGTAAACAAATGATGCATATGCAAATGTAAAACAATAAATGCATGGATGGATGAACAAACCTGCAAACAAATCAGGGGGAGAGACACAGCGAAGAGTGGAAAAACACACCTGTATTTGTTGTGTTCTTTCAAAAGGAGAGACTTTAATATGTTTTATTTTTTCAATTCCAATACATGGATGATATCTTATTTAAGATCTTTATCTCAACAATATGATTTGAACGTAGAAAAAAAGGATGTCTGAGGTATAACTTTGTATAAACGGACTTAAGTGAATAAACCAAAAAACAACCATAGTCAAACATATTTTATTGTGCACATCCAATGTTTTTACACATATAAATACAAACAAGCGGAAAACAGTCGGTCACTTCTTGACTCCGGCAAGAGTCTGTGGGTCCTTGTCTTTACAGCGGGACTGAAACGCATTCAGCATCTCGCTGCAGGTCAACCTCCCCCCCTTCATCACCAGCCTCTCTCCGTCCACTGTGGCAACAAACAACAAAAAAAACAGAAAGAACAATGAGAGGACTCAGAAGAGGATGTGCTGTGAGGAGAGTCCAATCCAGGGAAAGTTAACTCTGAGCAAATGTCAAAAAAACAAAATAGATGCTCATGGGTTCTATGAAAACTGGTGGTAAACATTTGGGAGCTGGCTACCTATCTAACATCCAATCTAACCATCAGGAACTAATTAGGATATAAAAGTGGATGTTTGAATAGAGCAACTTTGTTTCTACCTACAGCTGCTAAACTCAACTTATTTGATTCTACCTTATTTGTTCTGACTGTGAATTATCCTTTAAATAATCTGATCTGAACAGGAGGGACAGTGAACTTTGATGTTGCAAAGATGTTTTTGTATGAAGTTCATTAACACATCTAAATACATTTTGACAAAAATTATTAAAGAGACTAAAGGAACCCTGGGAAACTAGCAGAGCCAAATCTTTGGCAGAGTTCAGATCTTCCCCCATGACGTCCCCTAGTGCCCAAGAGTGTAACATTACCTAAAACATCAGAGATTTCATTTTAACTATTTTTTTGGGGGATCTGCAGCTGTCTTGATGTGCTCTATTACGAAGCACAAATACCAGCAGCCCATTTCTTACCATAAGTCACATCGATCACTGGTTCCGACTTGTCGTGTTTCACCACAGGTATCACCTCACAGTTCATGTTGGTGGAGCGGGCCTTTTCTGAACCCACCAAAGCCAGAAACTCTCTGAAAAGACAAACAGAGGGTGAAAGGATTCTAAGGATTTGATGCACTGTTGTCTCATGTATGAGCTGCTCCTAACCCAGCAGCCCTGTCACACTGCCTCCATCTGGATTGGAGACTAATTCTGGATTAATACTTGTGGAATATTTCAGGTTTACCACAGACCTGCACAACATATAACTATCATCACTGTGATCTCAATGTAAGCAAAGCTGCAATTACCAAAATAGCTTATGTGTAATATTATATTTGCATCCACTCATCGATAAAACTCAAGGTAGAGGTTTACAGGGATGCTTAATATAGAGCATTAAGCTCTACAGTCTGTATGCAATAACCTTTTAAAAATGCTGTGGTATAGATACACATATTTATACTAGTCTTTTTCTATACATATTTATTTATGTCCCATATATTTTAACCTTTTTATACACTCAAAGATATTACATTTAAATAAACAATTTAATTATTACTAATATTATTATTGTGATGATTGCTATTATTTTGATTATCAATAGTATAATTTGGACTATTATCATTATCAGTACCTTAACACTGTGTTTGCTGCCCTATTTCAGAGTTTAACAGCTTCGTTTCTTCGTTTCATTGTTTTCTTGCTCTTTGTTTATTAAGTTTATATAGAGTGCTGTTATTTAGAGTATGAGTAATTGTGTCTGTGGGTGCTGTGTTGTTGTTTCTACAATAACCTTTTCCCAGAGATACCAAGAATGTGAGTTAAAAGCCATAGAGACCAAACATTTCAATAATAATGCTGTGGTCCTGACGAAAGACTTTAATATTTAAGCTAAGTAATTGAATAATAATCTTCAAGCGATTAGGATCAAACCATCAGTTTGAGCTTAAATGTGCTGAAAACTAAGCAGACATTTTTTATGTTTTAGTCCATGAATGAGGGCAGTACTTTAACTAAAAGAAACTAATTTCAATAACATTAAATAAACATTATTTCATTATTGTAATATGTATTTAAAAAGGATTTAATCTCATTCAAGTTTTGGACTCCGAATACAAGCTTGGCATTTCCTGGAAAGCAGTGCTGAAGTTTTCACTGATGTCTAATTGATTTATTTCTACACGGGTGCTGCAAATCTGAAGTTCTTTTTTTGTTTTGTTTTTTACAAGTTTCTAGATATAGATTAACTACAAAATTACTTTTACCCTTATTCAATCTTCCAACCTTAAAAAAAAATGTAATTTATAGTTTATTTGACTATTTTATGAAGGGGATCCTTTATTTTTGAGTTACCACCTTACATCATGAGTTTACAGAAAGTATTAGCATCTAGATTTTTATTCAAACAGGTCAAACTGATCTTACTGGAGATGGCTGGGAGAACACAGATAATAAAACATGTCTGCCAAAATCCCAGCATCAATAAAAACAAATACATGAGGAAAACAACAACAATTGTAAACATGTTAAAAAGCCTTCTATATGACAGACCCCCACATCTTTAAATAGTAAAATAGCAGAATGTTAACCTTATCAATAAAATAACCAAGTACCTTACACAAAATTAAATTATAAACGCTCATATACTTTAAAAGCCAAAAAATCTCCTGTAAAATGAGCTATCATTTGACAGTTACTGCTAATTGTTCGCTAACAAACCCATTATTATAAATCTATAGCAAAACAACGACCTTTTAGCACAACAGAAATGTTGAATAGAAGTTTCTCACCGTGTGGAGCGAACATTGGACTCGAAGGGACAAAACTGGACGACTATTTTCTTCACAGACTTTAATAGCAGAGTAGATTTACTGGGAGCCGCCATGTTTTCTGGAATGGTGACCTCTTACCTCAACAGGAAGTGAAGTTCTACTTCTCGGCCGCTAGATGGCGTCAGAGCACAGGGAACTACACAAAGTGAAAGCTGGCCTGATTTATAAGTCATCACACAAAGTAGTGAAAAAGATTAAAACCAGGTAATATCGCATCATACTAAACGCTGAACATCTTATAAAGCACAATTTCACCAAAATCTACAAATGTAATATAAGAATCGCAGCATTAAAACAAAAAAAAGGGATTATCCACCTAAGAGTGCATGATCAATCAAGAGGAGATTTTAATTCTGTATGACTTATTGCATCTATATTGTTTCATTGTAATAATTCAATCAATATAGATAGATGTTTGATTATATCTCGAGTGAACTGTGGTTAATTAATAGGCTATTAATGGGTTTTTAATGCAGGGATTTGTCCTTCGAAGTCTCTCTGTTTGATTTCCATATTATTGCAACACACATTTATCCATCCTTCCCATCCACAGATGCAATTGCCAAAATATGCACATGCCTTTTATATCATTAGAGATAATAGAGGTACTGATTTAGGTTTTTGTTTTTTTTTTGTTTTTTTTACAACTACTTATACCTAGCAGGGCTAATCCATTGAAATCAACCTGCATCTTACATTCTACTTTATAAAAACTTAATTAAACTTAATTTGCGAGACTGAGGAGGAGTCCAGTAGGCACGCAGGCGTGTGCTCTACTGAAGGTTTTACCACCCAGATTTTATTTATTATACTAATTTAAACTCCAGGAGCACAATTTTTAAGTAAACAGTTGCTTTTTTTTTTTTTTTTTTTTTTTTTTTAGAAAGAGCTGTAGGGTTCATAACAGATGCGAAAATTGTATAGAAGTCAATATTTTCCAAACTCTTCTTTTATGCTTATTAATACCTGTGAAAAAAATGTAAATAAATTGTCATATTTATGCAACCCTTTTCCTTGATCGTACTATTGCCAGTATTGCTTTGGCTAAAAAAACAGATTTATACAAAATTCTACTCATGGAAAAGACAGAATATTGTCCCGAGTTTATGTGCCATAGTCTGTTAAAGAAAAGCCTAGAGGCAACCCGACTGTGGCACTTTGCTGCTATCATCTCCATTTGGCAGAGGCGAATCACATTAGAGGGCAGGCGATGGATGGGGGAGATTGTTTGTGTGTCTGTCAGGAACTAAGTCAATAAAGGAGCCACTGCTCTCCATATAGACAACCAT